GTACCTCCATTCACCTTTTCAACCTTTGACAAGCCTATCCTGGACGAGAGCGGCAACCCTACCTACAATGTGCAGACCCTCAAAATGCAGTTCGGCGCGCCACCGCAAGCTGGCAGTTATACCTTTGTGATGCACATGATCTGCGACAGCTACATTGGCATGGACACCCAAAAGGAGGTGACGTTGGTTGTCGAGGAGGCAAGCAAGGCAGAGGAGTTTGATGAAGAGGACGAGATAAGTGAGCCGGATGAGGGTAAGTTGGATTCAAAGCTGCATTGATTCGACTTGACTGACATTTGTGTTACCAGATACTATTGCCGGGCAGATGCGAACATTGAAGGGCGGCAGTGCTCCAGGTGCCTCGAAGCCGAAGAAACGGAGGGCTGTCGATGACGACTCGAGCGGTAGCGACACAGAAGGCGACGTAGATTCGGAGAGTGAAACCGACACCGAGACGGACACAGATGAGGAGTAGATGCCTTTTTGTCATTCATATTTCATGGTATTAGTGTCTGAGTCGCTTTCTGAGGAGTTATCCGAGCGGGCGATAAAAGCCGGCGATGTTTGAGGCTGGACAGTTAGCATGGCATTTCCAGGCGTTTAGAATGCGGGCTTTCCCATATCGGAACCCTGATATCACTGGGTGGCAGCGGGAGTAGAGGGTGTATGTGTACATGAATCGAGCACTCATCGTTTCAATCTTTGGTGTGTCGAGTTGTCCCCAATGCACGTTTCCTGTCTACGGGTTTATTCGTGAGAGCAGATCAGCGAGCAACCTCCCCCTCCTACGACGCTTGTACTGTCTGCTGAAGGGCTTTTACAGCGCTACGAGTATTACTATCGTGTGTGAATTCTTCCACCTCCAATCCAGGAGCGCGCATTCATAGCGAAGGTCCCGAGAGTCCAGGCTCTTCCAAATCAAAACAAGGACGCGGAGGAATACCTTCATCCAGGCCTTCTAAAACGAACCTGAGGCTAGAACAGCGCATCAGATCATCTCATGTGATGATGTGCTCTCCCAAGGTCGATCACATCACAGCGTCAACGCGAGCCTAACCGGAGGATTCCACAGGAAAGAAATGTTCCGAGAGCTCAGGCATTGACTTAAGGCATGGTATTATAAGCTTATTTCGACTTTGTGGGGAGAGCCGGGCACCCTATGGGTCGCAGGTCCATGGCGTCCGACAGCAGGGGTTTCAGAGCCGTCTCGCTTGACCCTCAACACCACTTCACCCATCGTGAACACTACCACAAGCCTGGTAAGGCACGTCTCAACCATCGCCCAAAGTGACAAATATGCGACTCAGACCAGTCAGGAGCGCCCGAATCGAGGCTGCAAGGCGGCTGGCGAGCAAGGTGATCCGCGCACGCTCGATGGCTTTGCTCTTGGCGCTCAATCGGGATGCGTCAACCCGCTGTTCGGAACGCACCTGAGGCCTGCAGGATGGCCTCAGGGCGCAACAGGCAGGCTCTTTAAGCCTTCTTGGCGCCCGTTTTAGCTGGCCACTGTAGGTCTTGGCTGGACGGGTCTGCGTCTGGCCGGGTAGCATTGACAGGTGCCAGACGTGCAAACTAGAGTTTCTGTCGCTTTGCCGAACGCCTCCCGGATGAAGGGTGGAATATAAGGCAGCAGGTGCCTCGCTTGGAGGTTTCTTTCCCATCACTCTCACTACTATCATCAGTCCTTTTGGGTGTTCCAGTCCTTCCTTACCTTCCCAGTTAATACCTTCCTTTCTACGCGACTTTGATAGTCTGCCTTTGCTTCCTTCATTTACAATCATTCATTTCGCGTCTGTGACGTTTAATTCTTTACCTTTCTAATCCCTCCTTTGTATTAACTGGGCTTCCGCCTCTCTCCACATACCAAGATGTTCTTCAAGACCTGTGCCACTTTGGCCCTTGCGACTGGATTCGCTGGTAAGTTCGAACAGTCCCCGAGGCATTGTCGGATGGTAGCTAACAGGAACACAGCTGCTAAGCCTGTCATCGCCCCTCATGCACCAGTAGACGTTCCTGTCTACCGACGGACCGCTCCAGTAACGCCAGCAAAGCGAGGCCTCGATGTCTTCGGCATCCAGAACAACTTCGACTTCATCAACCAGGTCGACGCCTTCTCTCAGCAGCAGCAGATCGTAAACTTCCAGCAGGAGGAGGTCTTCTTCGCTGAGAACTCGAACAACTTCGGCCGCGACCAGCAGCAAGTCATCTTCGCGCAGGCTCAGAAGGTTGTCCAGATCGAGCAGGAGAACAACGGCGGCAACCTCTTCTTCAATGACCTGTCCCGAAAGGCCTCCTTCAGGAACTCGAACCCCGGTGTAGAGACTGTCGTCATGGTTGTGAAGCAGATCGATATCTCGATTGATGATGGCCGTGGCAACCAGATCCAGCAGCAGGTCTTTGCTCAGTCCGTCGTCATTGCCAACCGTGGTGCTCGCGAGACGCAAGCCATCATGGGTAAGCCATTCTTAAACCCTGCCTTAAGTCCCTCCCTAATACATCCCAGTCTTCGAAGCCACCGCCATCAACGCCCAGAACGTCTTGGACGGCTTCGGCGGCAACGGTGGCGGCATCGCAGCTCCGACTGGCGTCGCCGGTGTCGCCGGCTTTGGCGCCTCAGGTGTCAGCGCTCCCCAGCAAACCGCCGATGTCCAGTTCTTTGGCGAGAAGCCAACCTGGTCATCCATCGCTGAGGACCCTGCTGCCACCGCCGCCGCTGCATGGCAAGCCGAGCTCTTGGATCTCAACAACGTCGGCAACGCCCAGCTGAACAACGACCAGAACTCCCAGCTCGTCATACAGGAGCAGCAAATCCTCGTGGAGGCAGTCTCCCAGGGCAAGAAGCTATAGATGCGCTCCCTGCAGACGGAGTCCTCTAGTCTAGTCCAGTTGCATGCATGGAGATGGCGGGTGAAGGAAGGAGGTGACATATACCCTCAAGGATTTGGTGTTGCTTGTTAGATTCCGCATGTTCTTATTTTCTGCAAAGCCTTCGTCGGCGTTGGTATGGTTGGTGGTCTTTCGGTGTATGCCAGCTCCTGACTGGTTCGGAGAATATAAATGTTAAATGGAAATGTCTTGTGCCGTTATTGGCTCAGATGAAATAGGTAGCTAAATGCAAAATCTATTAGTCAAAATTCAAATACTTGATGCTCCGAAACGGGGCTGTCGTGGATGTGAGACGTAGGAGGATGTTATAGCAGGAGGAGAGAGACTTACCCGAGGACCTGAGGCATTGACAAAACTTTGCCGGTTGAAATGAGATAGAGCGCCGGCTGGCGTTGTTCGTGACCGAAGGGGAAGTCTGCTTGCGCGTCAGTGGAGCGTACCCAATATCTTGGCGTCTTAGTTGAACTGGAGGTCAGTCTAAGGTCCAGATTTGATTTGATCGATTTGCAACCCTTCTACCCTTCAGAGCAAGAGTGTAAAGTGGTCGAAGACATGCGTCGAGGATTGGCACAGCCTTTTGTAGTCTTGACACCCACAAGCAGTCCGGCTCCCTTCAACTCCGTGGTGCGAAAATAGCAGAGTATCTGCTAGCAACCACTGTGATCTCGGCCAGTCTCCGAAACGACACTCCGGAAAGTAATGGACCACCCTATCACAAGGCTTGAAGAGTAGTGTTTTGCAACATGCCCCGTTTCGGAGATCGAGGTAGCTGTTTGAAGATCGGCCTGATGTGCTTCGAACACGACGGAAGGTGCAGCTACCGAACGAAGAAAGCCTCAACACTCAGTGAGATGTATCTTGCTTTGCTCGTAAGAGGTGCCAGTGGCGTCGCAGGAAGATATGGGTTGCTGGTGCTCTTCCGATGGAAGCAAGGAGCCCTTGGGTATCTTTGCCAACGAGATAGGTATCCCGTTCTGGTAGTTGCTGGGTAAATTTTGCTCGACTTCGTGCTGATCATCCCAAGGCCGATCGGATTTTCGGCCGAGAACCGGGTAGAGGACGACTGAGCAGTTGCCCAAGTAGGAGACCAATCGATCCGGAACTTTCATAAGGCAAGGACGATGTAGTGCGCACAAACTTATGTCCTGCTATATCGACTGCACTTCTCCGGGGGAAGACTCGGAGATAGCGCCGAGAACGCGAAAGCAGGCAATTGGGTACCAGTACACGAGATATTGGCTTCCACCCTCCGCCGGCTGAGCAGGCCATCAATACTCGCTACCAAGTCCATACATAGTAATTCGGAGCTGAGCGGTCGTCGTCCGATTGATTTCATTATGGAGCAACAAAAGTCCGTATTACGCTCAGGCGTCCATCAGCGGACTGGATCGATGAAAAATTTGAATTGCCCATCTTTTCTCGATCGTTTGCCGTATAGAGTAGTTGCTGCTCCTTCATAGCTCTTTCAGGTAGCTCTTCACCGGTAACTCGCCGCGAGCTCACATGTAGTCGTGAAGTCCGATGCATGCTGTAAGACTCCTTTGTTGGAACGGTCTACCCATGGAGAGATCGAATTGGACCCAAATCAAAAAGGCTCATATTAAAGTCCGGTGCTAAGACGCCCCTGTTCTGTGCCGCCTGCACGAGGTTGAGGGGGAAGATTTGTATTCGGCAAGAGTCTTCACACCGCCTCTGCTGAAGCTCCGGTCCTGTCCTAACGTTCCTCGTTGGTGCCTTTGCACAGTCACTGCATAGCCAAGTTGTGAATTTTTTCCCTTCCTCAGGCATTAAGGAAGTCCGATTAGGGGTAAACCGCCTTCAAGGATTTGGCGATCTGTAGTGTCGAAACTTTGACTTTCTACCATATTGTGGAGCTATGTACGTCGATGAGATGAACTGCTTGAAGTTGGGTACGAAAAGAATTGTTTGCGAACTACAAAATAAAATCCCATTGTGATGCGTGGTCTATAGGGTGTCCTGCAGAGTTGGTTGAAAAAGTACGCCAGGCTGCAGTGTTCTCGCTAAGTCCCACGCCCAAGCGAGCAAAACTATTCACAACCACGCAGGCGCATTTGATCACAACGTACGGCAAAAATAATGCAAAAAACTATGCACGATGCCCAAGGGGCTCGAACCCTCAACCTTTGGTGAACAGCTTTGATATCACCGAAAACCAACGCGCTACCATTGCGCCAAGGCACCGTTGACCTACAAATGAAATCGCGTCAACCGAATATACAGATTTTGCTTTATTTTATAATATATATCCATGTATAAAAATATTCCGTGCAGAGGAATCAAGCTCGTGCTCTTGCCATAAATACCCCGAAGTGTTAAACAGAGGCTGCAAACTGTCTGGGAAGAACAGTGGGGCAAAAGAGGGGCATGCGGCGTCGCTTTGGGTGGCCCTTTGACGGTTGAGTGGGGGTCACAAGCGTCAATTTCAAGCCTAGACGATGAAATGCTTGATATAGACAGTGCACCAAAGGGCAGATGTAAGAGCTCATTTGTGGACTCTTCAATGTGTTTCTCTCAACTGCATCTGCAAGATGTATATACACGAAACCTTCCGCTCTCTCAATCAAAAGCTTTAAGCAATCAAGCCTGCATACCAACATGCGCTATCGCATCTATTTTGTTCTGCCGTCACATTCCTGCCAATGTAATCATTACGCGATCCAGACGCGTCACATCGTATCCAAGCTTGACTCATAATCAGGCGTAAAGGAGCGTCGAGAACGTAGCCAAAGAAAATCAACTCGTCAACATTACTTCCTCCACATGAGACCAAGGAATGACAAGACATTAAAGCATATCCCAGGACCCCTGAGCCAGCGGGGGAACGGGACGCCGCGATTAGAGCTTGTGGTGTATGCCGGGGGTCGGGACGGTTCGCGGGCGTTGAAGATATTATGCTGATTACGGTTGGTGGTAAAGACTGAATGAAAGGTACCGGTGAGGGTATGGTAGGTGTATAGATGCTTCGTGTTGCCGGAAGGAATCAACGCTGGATAGAAAAAGGGAAGTCGCTATGAAAAAGAAGACAAATATGCAGGGTATGCGCAATTGCAGCAGTGCTATCGATCCGCACCGGGGTATCCTGGTATCTCGAGTGTGGCGACCAATGTCGAAGGAAGAACAGGAAGAGTCGTGCTGTGTTCGGATGTGGGGTGTCGTTGTCGAGCGGATCTGCCGCACCTTCTGGGATGAAGCGAAGGGTTGCTGGCACGGTAGTTGTAGGGGTTATCGTCGAAAGACCGACTTGTGCGTGAGAGGCGAATCGTAAGGCATCGGGCCTCTGACTCTACCCCCTCTGGCAACAGGTGTCTGACCCGTACAGAAGACGCACACGTAGACGGGAGGGAGGTTCTGCGTATTGAGGCCGACGCATGCCATATGAAGCCACTTGGTGCACGACTCGCACTGGACCATGGGTTGACCATCATTTCCCGAGTTGCATATGCAGCGAGTGCTATCGCCAGATAAGCTGCTTCGGTCGGTGGATGGCGTCGTGAGTCCGGCTTCGGTAGGAGAGGCGGTGAAAGGGTTGGAGTACTGGTCGTATAGACTGTGCGGACTCTGGTTTGAGTTGGCAAGGTCGGCAGAAGCTTGCGCCCAGCGTTGGTTATGAGCCTTGAGAGTGTTCTGCGAAGCATTATCTAAGATAGTTAGCAAAGCTGATAAGAAGACTTCGAAAGTATCGCACCTTGTCTCTTCTGCCGACCCTCAACCACCTTTTTCAAGGCGCCAAGGGCATCCCCAGGAGAATCCGGCATGGGTTGATCTCCGCTTTCCTGAATGCCACTGATCGAGGTAGGAAAGTCCATCATGCTATATCTCCTGAAAGGGTTCTCTACAGCTCTCCTTACTGCATGCACAGGACGAACAGTCTCGAACGAGGCTTTGTCGAAACTGCCAGAAGAGGGCCTAGGCATCTTGAAGGAATTGAATCGGTCTAGATTACCGCTGTCGGCCCTGGCATGTTTCGATGGACGGCGTTGGGGAATGTTGAAGGAAGCGTTGCGACTCAGAGTCACAGGCTCTTCTGGCTCAGAATCGCTGTCATCCTCGTTCCAAAGTCCTGGATATTGACGTCTATAATCCTTCTGAGAATCTCGACCAGTGTTCCGTTGCGTTTCTGCGTCGTCGTCCACAGGCACAGTCTCTGTTCGTGCCCGGCCAGTCTCATCGATCACAAGCCTCGTTCTTGGTCTCCGAATCTCAGGAATAGAGGTGAGTGATCCACCACTTTGCCTCTTCAGAGGGGAAGAGCGCCGAGCTATATTGTAGCCAATTGCAGACCCAGACGACTTGGAATCGATTGACGAGGGACGACTCTTGCGAAAGCCACTATCGGTGTTGCTTCTTTGAAGACCGGGCCGGGTGTTCTCGTATGAGGCAGTCGATGAACTCGTATTCGTACGTGAATGCTGACTCTTGGTCTTCTTGACCTGCTCCTTTTCTCTCAAAGCATCCCGAGCTTGAGTCTCATACGGTTGCCTATTGTCATTACTGAAGCTGGCTGGCTGCGTGGGATTATTAAAAGATGATGCTGGACCTGGACTTGAGAAGCTGAACAATACGCTTGGGTCGACACCGCCCGAGCTTGAGATGAAAGAGCTTGGCCGCGAACTCGGATCCTCAGTAGCCAGGACATTGTTCGTATGGAAGGAAGTGACCGGACCCGGTGATGACATGCCATGGAGCGCTTGGAAAGCTTGAGGGTTCATTTGGTTCGGGGTGTGAAAAGTTTGCCAGTTGAAGTTGTTCTCGATCTTATGAGGCGTAGGCCCGAACGGGTCAGATGCTATTGCCATGTCTACGTCCATGCTCTGTCCATCGTTGGTCTGGTCCCAGAAGAGGCGCGAATGTGGCAGTGCGGGAGCCGACATTGGGCCAGTACTGGGAAATTGAACCATATCAGGGGAGAATTGCAGGCTAGGAAATCCGAAAGGTGTCTGGTTGAAAACGGCAGGAGACGGTTGACCTTGTATAGGCGTCCTTGCAACAACGGTAGCTGGCGTGGCAAACTCATTCCCGGTATTCTGGTGTATACTCCTCCGTGATGTGGCATCTCTGGTGGGTGGTGGGGTATGCATGTGTGCCATTTGCGACGGATCCATGCTGACGGGGCGAGGTCTAAGCGACGGATTCACCCGCAGACTGGGTTGTGGATTCCTTGTTGCAGAAGGATCTGGCGAGGAGGACAGCCGTCGAGAGGGCTCGACGGGAGGCAAAGGAAGATTGCCAGGTGTGAAGTGATTTACATGAAATGCTGGATCGTGGGGGGAGCGAACTTTCTGACTGTACGAGCTCGACGGTCGGTCTACGGGGGTGGATAGGGCGAATGACGGCGTCTGTGCAGGCGTCTGCTGCCCATTGACTCGAGGCGTAGACCAAGCGTCAAGAAAGTGCGATTGGGAAGGGAATTCAGCCTTTGGTGTTTTGAGGCTCGAGTCCGGAAACGTCACAGACTTGGGCGTGGAAGAGGGACTGGGAAGGTGCCAGTCCGTTGATCTGGCGAACACCACACGATTAGCTTCGAAACACTTGGAGGATGCACTAGGACCAGAATAGAAATTGCTTATGAGAAATTGACAAGACGATGGAAGGTGGAAACTTCGAAGTTCAATAATTGAGTGATGAGCGTCTGAGAGAAGGAACGCAGGGCCAAAGTTGATACGGAGGAGAAGTTTAGGGCTGGTACACCGAGCACCATGGTCAGAACCGTGCGGTGCTGCCTGTCCTGCCTGGAGCTAGTGGCCGAAGAAAAAAAAGGATTCGGCAGGACTTGGGTACAAGCAGGCAGTATAGAGGCATTGAGAAGGTTGCCATCCTCTACTGCCAGCCCGTTGCACCAAGCCCATGCCCCCATGACGTGCTTTGAGAGTGTACTTCGAGATGGGATGCACAGAGACCTTGGCCAGGCAGAAGAGAGGACCGTACCCATATATATGCTGATCCAAACTCATAGCAAGAGGCGTGAAACAGTGTCCCTGCCCTGGTGTTCATGTAGCGTGCGGTATCAAGCGGCGTGCGTCGATGAGGAAGGAGGGTTCGAGGTGGAGGCCGACGGCGAGAGGAAGGCGCTCTGGCAGAGATTCTCTTGTCTCGACGAGACCTAGACAGGGACAGGATTAGGGAACAGTCAAGCTGTGGGACGCTGTAGGACGCTCGATGAGGTAGGGTCCGGGGAGGAGCCAGTGCCGTGAGACCTCGTGGCTGCAGGTACAGAGGGAGGGTCACAACGGCTAGCAGAGACGACGGCTGCAGGTCCGAGGGGTCAAGGTACAAGAGAGTTTAGGCAGGGCGTATTGAGGAATGACATTACATACGGTTCTTTTCACGTAACCAGGCCAGGCGCAGTGGGGCCGCTGCAAAAGAATTGTCGCTGGCCACAACCAGGAATAATTGGACGTACCGAGATCGTGTGTCGCCGGCGTTGGCCAGACAGGCTCAGGAATGTTCTCCTGAGCGCCGGCTTATGGATCTGGCAGTAGACGATCAGGTACCGCGCCGCCCCGGGCTGCTGGCATGCTGGCGGGGATAGGGTTGAGCTTTCATTATGGGCAGGGGAGCGTGGTGTAGTCTTCACGGGCACGGAGGTGAGGATGGAGTCGCCGAGCTTCGCAACCAGCACCGCGGGCCAACAGCGCGAGGACTGCTAGCCGACTAGCCTCTAGCTGCTGCGAGATACATGATACAAACGATATGCTCGAACGGCACGGTACAGGATGGCTGAGGAGGATGCGCGGCGGGATGGTGAGAAAGAGCTCCATCGAATGAATGGGCTGCGCACAAGATTGCGCTAGGACAGTCCGCTCGCGAACGTCAACCAGCGCCTTCGTCAACCATTCAGCCCGCCGTCTGGGCTCTTCTATCTGCAAACTCCTGAGCCGTTCGAAGACAGGAAGCTGCACTCCTGAATTGCCAACGTCAACGGCGCTGGCTATCCGCTTCAAGCAGCAAATGGGCAGCCTATCGCGGCGGCCGTGTCAGTGCCAGCTCATCAGCAGCCAGATTAATTTGCGGCCTTATGCCTTACGGTGCGAACTCGACCATGCTCCTCAAGCGAGGCCTGGAAATCTGGAAATGTGCACTACGCAGCCAATCGTAGCCCGGGGATGTTTCGACGATTGCCCTCGGAGGAATTGCCGCCTGTTCGCTGGATTGAGTCAGGCCGAAGCCAACGCACCTCATTT